TGTTCATTCCACCTAGGGGCAAAGCTATCAACTATAGTTCTGGTCCGAACCCACTTCTGCCCATACTTGGCAACACAATAAGCATCAGTCGCTGCCCGTCCCTCTTTCGACTTCATAGGCGTGAGCCCTTGGGCACTTAGGATACCCAGTTCAAGAACACCAATATTGGATTTCCATAGCTGCTTCGCGGTGGGTCTAAGATCACTACTATAATGGGTTGACTCATCAAGAACGTGATAACCACCCTCCAGCCATATCCTCATGTGAATCTTGCTGGCAAATCTCACTTCCTTCTTATCGCCCTCGACCATGTGTTTATCAAGATTGTACCATTTTGAGTTCATCGGCCTATGGTCTAACCTCCGTTCAACGTACTGCAAAGGGATGGCACACCTTCCTAGAATCTCATCCTTGTTGGACCCAACCCTGTCTTCCACGCTAAGAAGCAGTGGCTCCTCAAACGGTTCGGCGACCACAAACATCAAATCCTCGTTCCACATCGGGTTGATGCTCTTGGCAGTTGAAACCCGTGTCCGCAAAGCTTGATTACCGAGAATAGCTTTAACAAACACTTCAGGGTACCTACTTTTATCATTTGGGACCAAATCTTGGGCCTCAATCACGTTAACCCTTAAGTACCAAAGCTTGGGAGAGAGGTAGACCTTTGACCTGATGCTCGAGAGCCCATCAGACCCACTAACAGCCGCTGCATCTGTATGCCAGGCCTCAGGGAATGCCTCATCAGCCTGAGTGCCAATCCAAATAGCCAACATAAGCTCTCCCCTGATCTTTTCACCCTTCCTGTCCTCCAACCTGTACCACTGTGGCGCCAGTGGACTGTCAGGCGGGACTCGCTTCGGGATCTCATTCAGATCAAATCCGACGCGCCCAACAAAATCGTCCTTGAAAAGATCCTTATCCTTCACCTGGACTTCAAGCATGGAAGCCTGCATCCTGTCCTTGGAGAAGGCAAAGACTTGGTTCCATTCCGGGTTGGTTTTCTTCTCAAAATGACCAGTCGTACCCTTGTAGTTTCCAAGCCTGATCTCCACATACGGATCGAGACTCCCGGTGACGTCCTTTGCAGGCAAGTCCTTAGCCTTGACCACCCGGACATAGAGGTATTGCATCTGCTCAACGAGGTCATAGGTGCTTGTGAGCTTATCACCTGTGACCTTCCCTCCACCAAGGTGCGGTTTGGTTTCCTTAAGAGAAAAGTCTTCTTGTGGTGGTTTATGCATTTTCAAGTTTCAACCTCTCTATTTCAAACAGCTGCAGCAAGAAATTAGTAGTTGAAGGATGGCATAAGTTCAAATAATCACACAAAGAACCAGTTACATATGACAGATAAAAAATTAAAAAAATAATAATAATACCAGTAATAAGACAAGTGCAAAACCCTATTCGAAACGTTAGATCTGGAAGTGCCCTGCTGAAAAGTCGAAACTCCATTATTGACTGAAAATGCTTATACGGACTCTAGCAAAAACAAATTTTAGCTAGATTTGACTGATGGAAATCAAAATATAACCACGTCAATATCTCCATATACACGATTCGAAATTTAAATTCAAAAGCAAACATTAAACGTAGAACAAAGAAGCAACAAAACCAGGAACTTTTTCAATTCCCACTACACGAATATAGGAGCAGGAGATTGAGAACCCAGAAATTAAACATTTCTTCGCTGCAGAAACATAACCAAACAGACCAAGTAGAGGTAAAAGAAAACGAATATACCTTGAATTCTTGAAGGTTCCGGGGAGCTAATAAGGAGAAGCTGCGGAATTTAGGGATTCAGCAGATAAGGTTCTGGGTATATTTTGAATATTACTCCAGCAGGACCCAACAACTTAGAAGAACACGAAGAAAAAGCGAAGGGGTGGGTGCGCTTTTCAGCTTTGGGAATCAGGCAAAGTGAAGGTGAAGAGTGGTGAGAGACAACCTAGAAAAAAGGGTACGGACTTGCTGTAGAGAGAGAAGGTGGGTGCTCTTCTTTCTCGCGTCCCTTTCTTGCGGTGGTCGGTCCGGATATCGCTAATTGTTTTGGGATTATGCGTATCTCATTAATGGTGGGGGCTTAAACTCCATGGCTTTAAATACAGAGTAAGATGGGGTACTGAAGACGTATGCAAGTGATATCGATCTATCTATCTAAACCGACTGGTTCCCAAGTGTACCCCGGTCGGTCCTGCCAGGTGCTAACCCGCTTACTTCATACTTTGATGATTCATGCATTTATTTTTAGTTTATCAAAAACTTTGGATCAAATTTGGCTCATGTCATGCTACGTACTCCTTATTATCTTTGCTTTAGTTTGGTAAATTTAAAGATGAGTCCCGCTTCGTGTACACCGGGTTACACGCCGGTCAAATTGTCTGCATATACAATTTAAAGACAATTTTATCGGTTAGACAGACAATTTGACCGGCGTTTTAAAAAGAAAATCGATCTCCATACATACAAAATATAAAGAGTTGTCTGTATCACAGACATGTTAGACCTGGATTTTTCATAAAGTGTCTGTGATACAGACATTTTTTTATTTTGATCTGTGTGAAAATCAGTTTTCTTTGTAAAACGCCGCTCAATATGTCTGTGTAGCCGGTCAAATTGTATGACTGTCTGTACACAGACAATTTGACAGGCGTATAACCCAGCGTGTAACCCGACGTGTAAAACTTGGCGTGTATAAAAGGAATTTTCCTTTAAAGATTGTTATAGATACGGAACTTGCAATTATTTAACTCCAGTGAAAAATTTACTTCATCTCATTTTTGTCTAAATATTTACTCCCTCCGGTTCTTATTAAAGTTCTCACTTTCCTTTTTGGGATGTCCCTTATTTAAATTCACACTTCCATTTTAGGAAACAAAACATTGCAAAACAGTGTCAAACAGTGCCAAACAGTGTCAAACAGTGCACTCCACAGTAAAGTCAAATTCATTTTCTTAATATGTGTGAAGTCAAACTGTGAACTTAAATAAGAATCGGAGGAAGTACCTTTTTCACGAAAACTATAGAAATGAAAATTTTATGATTGTGAGAAGACATAATTTGATCCCAAAGTCCGGCTACAAGTCCGGCTACAAAGCCTACACGAATAATAAAGTTTAGAGTGAATTGAAAGGGAAATATGAAAATAACATTACAAATTGTACTAAATAGGAGCAAAAACGTTTTTAAATTCCAAAATAAGAGTATCATATTTTTTCCTGAATATGAGTAATCTACCAAGTTTGGAAAAAATGTCATGTTTTAAAGCTTAGTAATGCCAAATTTGCCAGAAATTTACTCATATTCAAGAAATAAAAAACATGATAATCCATTTTTGGAATTTTAAAACTTTATGGAATTCTCCCAAATAACATTGATAGGCGTGGAGACGTAGCTTTAGCTTTCATTTCATCCTACAATTCCATTATATTCTAATTATACACTCAATAATTTATATCCTTTTGGGAGATTTCCAAAAATAGGAGAAACTGAAGTTTGAAATTCTAAAATAGGACTACTATGTTTTTATTCTCAAAATGGGACTAACATGGCGGTATTTCGGGAAGAAAAACATATTAATCCTTTTTTGAAATTCCAAATCTCATTTGCTCCTATTTTGAGAAATTCTCTATTCTTTTTCATTATTCATAATCTTATCTACTTTTAAAGTGAGAAAATCTTTCTGTTATGTAGGGAGGAGGGAGCATTAGTTTGAAAACAACCTCAACAATATAATATACTTTCATTTTATTTTAGAAAAAATTCAAATAAAATAAGTGTAGATTCTTAAAATAAATGAAAGTAAAGTCGTGTGATCCTAAAATCATATAATCATATTACATAAACATACAGAGTTTAGTAAAATAGCAAAAATTGATGATCATAATCGATGAAGCAAGAGTCACGAGTCGAAAGAGACCGAATGTGTTACTTCTAGGACATAAATGGAGGCCGCTAGAGGAAAGATAAGTAAGCATTATATTAGTGTGACCATCCAATCCTATGCCGATGGGCTTGCGGACTTGACTCCAAATTTATTGGTTTTAAACTGCCTGTAAGATAGCTTCAAACTTGAAGAAATCCTCAGAAAACTAGGTAATATGCTCACAATAATTAGGTATTATTTATATTCTAGTTTCATATTTCATTATTTTATAGTTTAATGTAATATGAGCTTTGAAGGCTAAGTTCAAAAATATCCTATTACTACAATAATACTATAAGGTAGGCAGGTAGCTCAAGGCCATTCATGAGGTTACAAAGGAAGAGGCAAATATGAATTGCCTAATGTCGAACATTTTGACACCGCAAATAAATACTTGGACTCCTAGTCCCCACTCATGAATGCCCCAGCACAAGAACAATAAGGATATATGGTAAAGTTCTTAGTCAAACATGTTCATTATATTCCATACATAGTTAAACATTTAACATTTCCGGGCAGTTTCCAACCTCATCTCGTGAGTGTGCGGTTTTATCATTGGTTCCACACCACAACCTTCGTGGATATTTCATTGCAGCCCAACTCACAACTTAATATTATTGGAAAAATGTGTTAAAAATTGTATTAAATGGTCATTTTGAGGCAATTATTTGAGTGACGTTCACTTCCAATTTGGGTCGAGTCAAAGTGGTTTCGAATTGTCCTTGTTAAGGGCTACAATTCGATATATGGTACACTCAAAACTGTGGCAAAAATAAAAAAAAATATGGCATCTTATGTTTTTATTCTAGAATAGGACCATATTACTCCTATTTGGAAACATACCTATTTTTTTCATTCCGTTCCTACCCCCTCTTTAAATATGAGTAAAAGGTACTCAAAAGTCATAATTAAATGTTTTAATTCATAATAAATTCATAAAGAATAAAAAAAATAGAAAAATAATAAATATATTTATAAAATAAAAAATTAAAAAAAATTAAATTTTTTAAAAATAAAAAAATAAAAAATAGTAAAAATTTATATAAAAAAATATGGATGCATTTCCCACCACCTGTACTGCCTCCTTGCACCACCACCTTCGACCGGTGTAAAAAATGCCAAATGCCACTTTTTCTGAAAATGTTAAAAAATGGCATATTACTATTTGAGAATGCCAAAATTTTCATTGAATCTGCCATAAATGTGGCAGTTTTTTTCCCCGGAGACCAGGGGTGGTGGTACTGGGGCGGCAGAGGAGTTGGTGAACTTTTTTTTTTGCATTTTTTTATTTTTTTTTTAAAATAGTTTTTTTAAAAAGTGTAATTTTTTTATTTTTTCAATTATTATTTTTAAAATGTTTTTATTAATTTTTATTATTTTATTATGAATTAAAACATTTCAATAGCTACAAGTGTATATTTGTCCAAGACACACATAATTAGTCTTATGAAACATAAGGGGTGTTTGGTTAGGAGCCTATCAGCCATTTTTTGGTTAATTTGACTTAATTTAGCTTTTTGACCAAATCAAAAGTGTTTGGTTAAATGGTTTTTTCAATTGGCTTTTTGTTCCAAACAGCCAAATTCCGAAACACCAACAACCATAGCGTTTAGTACTGGCGTTTCCGCGCTTTCCTATACTGCTCGTCTACTCTTTTCCCGTATCGGCCTCCTACAGCAGAAAAACCCTCCACCTAAGGGTGTGTTTGGGAGTTGAGTTTTGGAGGGGAGGGGAAGGTTAATGGGGGTTTGTGATCATCTTTTTCATGTTTGGGAGTTTAAAAATTGGAGGGGATGGTTTTGGAGGGTTTTTGTATCCCTTCAAAACCCTCCAAATGCTTAATTTTTAAGTTCTCCCAATTTGGAGGGTTTTGGAGGATAATTAACAAGATGATAATTTAAGCTAAATTAAAAATGAATATCAGCTCAATGATTTGAATTCGTCATAGTTGATGGTGATTTTAATTATAATTCTTTCAAAAACTCTCTTCTTCCAATTTTATTACTTCCAAATACAAAGAAAGACTTCCTCACCCTCCCCTCCCTTTCCCCTCCAACAACATACCTCCAAAACCTTTCCCTTCCCTTCCCTTCAAATTCCCAAACATACCCTAAGGGTGTGTTTGGGAGTTGGTTTTTGGAGGGGAGGGGAAAGCATGTGAGGGAAATAAACACTCCTATTTGTGTTTGGGAGTTCAAATAATATGAGGGAAAGGTTTTGGGGTATTATAAAATCCTTCTAAACCTTCCAAAACCTGAATTTTCGGATTCTCCCGATTTGAGGGTTTTCTAAGGTCTAACTACGCAAATGACATATTTATCCTCTGAAACTAATACAATATCCTCATAAAAAATTTACGAGCTGCTAATTGCTCCATTTCCCCCGCTGAAACCCCTCAAATCCCAAAACCCCCATCTTTTGAAATTTGTAACTCCCAAACAAGAGGATGGAATCCCTCCTCATCTCCCTCCCCTTCCCTTCTCTCTACTCCCCCTTCGAAGCCTTTCCTTTCCTCACCTTCAAACTCCCAAACACCGAATTGATCAAAGAGCAAAAAAATAAAGATATGAGCAACCAGCCTTCTCCAACACCGTTTATATGTATGATACTGATGAAAGAGAAAAATAATTTAGATATGTCAACCGAAAATTATGACACGCCTTCCATCGCCTTAAATAAGGGACTTGAGATTGAAACTCTTTTCGAGTTTAAACCCCACTACACTGCTTCCAAGTTCATGATGATAATTGATAAGAATGGAAGAGAAAAATGATTTTCAATTAAGTCGTACTTCAAGGGTCAAGGGTCCAAGTTTAGTTGGAACCACTTTGGCGTTTTAGTACCATTTTACTATTTTACGGGGTATCTTTGCTAATTAGTACGGAGTATTAATAAAAATTAATTGTTGTCTTTAAAAGTCATTTAACAAGTTATCAGCTTATTGTAAATACGGATTAGCTATTTAATCAAACACCATTTTACAAACTGCTAATCTTATCAGCTAATCAAAACAGCTAACTAGAACTGCTGTCATCAATCAGTTAACACAATCAGCCAACAGCCAATTATCAAACACCCTCATAGTTTATTTTTTGGTCCTATTTGTGTAAACGAACCGACTTTTAGTCCTATATGCATAATTAACTCAACAATATAGTGTCATAGGCACTTAAGTTTAAAATTGAACATAAGTTACTATGATTAAGTTACTACTATAGTTATTAGTCACATTTTTGTAAACAATCTTTATTTTTATTTTTTGATCGTCAAAAGCAGTTTTCATTAAAATAGAGCAAACATGCAAAACAAAATCCAGACAGTTATTACAGATCTGATCCCAAGCTCTAGGAATAGACTTAGAGTCAACCACCCATACAACAGCAACCCGACTCGCTAGGCACATAAAAAGGACAAGAATAAGTCTAAAACGATCGAAAATGAAGCACTTACCATCAAAAGTTCATCAAAAATCAAAATACTCCAACTATATCTTCTCGAACTGAAATAAAAACAAGTACTACTAAAGAAAAAGTAATACGAAAATAGAAATTTCCCCCAAATTGCTTCTTTGCCCAGAGGTGTTGTAGTATGGGAGAAGAGAATTTCGACCCTTGGAAAATTCATCTGAAACCCTATCCTTCTTGCGCTTGCCAATTTTCTCTCGCCAATTTGCTTCTTGAGGTTTGTCATTGAAATCCATGTCCGAGGTGCAGAAGAAATCTCTATCATGTTGCCTTTGTAACCACTCAATGTTCCGTCTGCAATAGAAAACGACTGAAGCTTCAAATCGGAAAGCTTCGAAACCCGCCTCAAACTGTACCATTCGTCTGTCCAACCATTGCCTGCTCTCAATTAGGAAGGAAATCGAAACTCCGTCTTAACGACGGTCGCACTTCATCGGAGACGAATGCGGAAAAGCAAACCCTAGCGGCGGAATTCCGCCCTAGAGAGAGAAACTCACGCACCGAATTGTAATATTTAAACAATCTTTATTTTAGTCATAATATATAATTATTTCTATTTAGTATAATAAACTAACAAAGCAGTAACAATGCATGAAATCTCTTCGCGTTCTAGCTCAATTAAATAAATTTATGAGTCTATTTAAAAGAGTTTCAAAGTCCATAAAAACTCCTAAATTATTATCCCCAATTCTCCATTTGGAATGTATCAAATTTTCATTTTTTTTATATAAACAACGACTCTTACTCAATCAAGTGTGAGATATTCATTTAATTATCTTACTTTACATACATTTTGATATTTATTATGTTTAAAATTATTCTCTTAGAGTGTGGAAACTTATATTTAAAGTATATTATATTAATAATTAAAAAATTATATGAAAATCATCGATGGTAACTTTAGTAAAAAACTGACTTCAACCTTATTTCTTTTGAATCTCTCGTCGACTGGGAGGCGGTGACTAGCTATGGAATAGTCTCATCACTATAGCTACCACCTCCACCACCTCCACCTCCACGCCCTAGCTCCATATCCACCATGAATTGGTTATTTGAAATGCGTATCCAGCAGTGGAGAATTGAGAGATTTCTACATAGATGAGACTATTCCATAGCCACCACCTCCCAACCGCATTTACGTTTGGTGGAGGCCTAAGAAAGGGAGCACTAAGAACAGAGAAAGAAAGAATGAGAGAAAAAGAAATGATAAAAGAAAAAAGAAAAACATAAAAAATTAAAAGATAAACAATAAAAATATGCTAGACATCCACGAAGACCATTGACTGGGAAACCTTATTGTAACTTACAAAATAGCTAATATGATTGTTTTTAATACTTTGGAGACTCGATTGATTCCCTTAAAAGTATGACCACTCAATTGACATTTTGCTAAAAATACAAAGACTTACTTTACAGTTTTCTCTATACAAATTATTTCTTTCACGTGTTATATAATCAAAAGTTCATAACAATAGCCTTTAACAATTCTCCTCCATTTAAGGGATATTTTTGTTTGGCTTGTTGAGTAGCTAAGAGTGCCATCGAAATTACGTGTTACATGATTCATTTTTCTTTTGTGATGTTCTTCTTTTATTACTTATCCCTTCCAGAGTTCCAGGCATAGATTTTATTCAAATTTTCAAACTATTTTCACTCCTAGCCACACTTGGCTTCTAGTTTTAGATTACCATAACCGGTAATTAGTTAAGAAATCAAGCAAGATTTAGCCATGAATAACGAAAGCGGAGAAAATGCCTTGGTGGGGGCTTCATCATCCACAGAGCACTGAAAACTCCGGAAGCGTGAAAAGGAACTACCTCGAACCCATTTGATAACATTAAAATTGACTAAATTTTTTAATTCAGCAGAAATTTATGAATTTCTAGTTGAAGTGATTTGATTAATTGGCTGATTTAGATGAAATATGAAAAAATTATATTTAAAATATATTTTGTTAATCAAATAAAAAAACATGAAAAATAACTAAAATGGTCTTCTACGGTAGCTTCAGCCAATGCAGCCAGAAAAGTAACTCCAGCCTTACTTATTTATTATTACACAACTGAGCGCGCTACATCAAAAGTTATGTATTTTATGAAAAAGTGGGATAATAAGTGCTGGAAAGCCAAAAATAGGGTCACCAAATAGGCTTGAGCTGTTGTGTTGAGTACACATAGATCCTTCGTACGTTCTTCGAGAGATTGTGTTGATTACACATAGATCCTTTTCAAATTCTTTGAGAGATGATGATAGATCTGTTGGATCACGGGCCGTCCAAATTAATTATCTGGCCCAACAAAGGGGGGGATAAAGCATCCCAAAAAGAGGTCCAAGCATCAGTGGATAGGGCGAAGAGTACTCCATAAGAAGAGATAAATTCAAATAAAGATAAGACCAAATAACCGTCCTCCCGAGATGGCCGAATGGGAGTGCACAATTAACGGCTTACCCAAATGTTTCGTTAAACATGTAGTATAAGAGAAAGATAATAGATTAGAGAAAGAGGCAGTGCTCAAACAATTAAGATACGATTTGTTCTTTCCGCTTTGCAAGCAATATTATTTTTAACCAATTTATTTCTATTGTTTCTTCATGAATTTTGGCATGATCTCATATTTTCATTTACATAGCATAGAACTCAATATTCTCAATAAATTTCTTTGGTAAAATCAATTTGAGATTTTCTACAAAACAATACTCTGCATCTTCATTCCAAGAATCATCTAATTAATTAGTATTACCTTTAATATTCTTTTGAGTGGATCATTCGTTTACCGCTACACTAAAAGCAATCGTTGATTGTGTAGCACGTCTTTAACCTTTATAGAACATGCAAAGCACCACATTTCAATTGCATCGGCAGACTGGCAGACTGCTGACACCTCACACCTGTGGCCTAACAATCTACCCCCAGCATCTGCAAGCCTACAACTCAACAACATGTTGTTGCCGAGGGTCGAACTCGTGACCTTTGGCTCTGATACCACTCGTGGATCGTTACATTTACCGCTACACTAAAAGCAATCATTGATAGTGTAGCAAGCCTTTCCCCCTTTATATAACATGCAAAGAGCTACGTTTTGATTGCACCGTCAGGCTGGCAGACTGCTCACATGGGTCACCACCCTCCAATCTCCAATTCTTCGATTTTGGTGGGTTATTTAGGGTCGTGTACATGTCTCTCAGCATTTGGATGAAGGCAAAGTAACAATACTCCTACTTGAGCAACTATATGTACTAAGGATGTTTTTACTTGGACTGTAATTTGCTGGTCTGGTATGGTATGGTCTGAACTGGTCTGGTTTCTTTGTACTTTTATAACTATCCAAGTCTGGTCTGGTCTGAACTGGTCTGGTCTAGTCTGGGAGGAATTACAGTCTAAGTAAAAACATCCTAAAACAAACATTTCTGCAAATTATTGAATTAACAAATATCACATGCTTATTTCTAATTATGGAAACCTCCATATCAAGTAATAATGCAATATGAATCAAAGCATCAATTACTTTCCAGGTCATTAGTGTATGACAACGCTTGGAAGGATAGAACTGACATGAAGTGTAACACCTCGTCCCGTAAGTCCCAAGGTAGTTACTCCTAGATACTCTCCAAACCTCTAGTATTGTCTTCACAAATTAACACAAGCTTCACCCATGCACTTTTTCCTCACTCGTGCACGCCATGAGAAATTTCTTAGGAGGTCACCCATCCCAAAACTACTCACATGCAAACACGCTTAACTTAGAGTTCTTAGCTGATGAGTTTCCTTAAAAGGAAATGCACCTTGTTTTTATGAGTTGTACTATTAATCCTTTTCAAAATTATCTCAAGTATTACAATCAGCCGCACTTAGGAATGTAACGTCCTCGTTGAGACCATAAACCAATCTCAATCAAACCCTAGAATCATCCACTACTAAGTACTCGTTCAATATCCAACGAACATCACACTGTCGCAGGTTTGCTCTGATACCACCTCACGCACTGCACAACACCAATGCTAACATTCAAAAATATGAACAGTACTTTTCATACAAACAAGGTGCATCTCCTCTTAAGGAAGCTAATCAGGTAAGAACACCAAATTTAGCGTGCTTGCACGGGAGTAGTCTTGAGATTAGTGACCCTCTGAAAAGTTTTTCAGGGCGCGCACAAGTGAGGATAAAGTATGTGGTAAAGGTGGGTGTTGGTTTGTGAGGATAATAGTAGAGGTCTGGAGAGTATCTAAGAGTGACTATCATGGACCCTACGGGGCGGGGTGTTACACTTCATGTCTGTTCTATCCTTCTAGACGTTGTCATACACTAACAATCTTTAAGGTAATTGATGCTTTGATTCATATTGCATTATTGTTTGATATGGAGATTTCTATAATTTAATTAAATAAGCATGTGATATTTGTGAATTCAAGAATTTGCAGAACTGTTTGTAGATGACTGGTTTGCGGCAGTATAGATTCCCCCAGATG